ATCCGTGTATTGACCACCAGCTGCAATAGCAGCCGCCTAATGCTCTTCCCACCATGGCCAAGTGCTTGCTCCACAAACAAGCTAGTGCATGCTCCACCATGGAGGGTGGAGGGTCGTTCATCTTCAAAGCTGGCTGCTATATATATGTGCAACAGCTGTTGAAGAAAGACACGAACGAAATACACCAAACTGAAAACGCTCAACTTTGGCTATACGTTGCACTCCTTCCTCTCAGCATTTCCATACGATTTTCTGAGTTTCTGCTCCTTTGTTCTGCATTGTTTTAACTTCAAACAAAGCAACTGTAAGTGTGATTTGCTACCGAACTTTGTGTTCGCTGAAACACTGGGGTTTGAAGTACCGCTACACNTATATATATATATATATTTGTCAAAGTAAACGAGACGCGTGAGTAGTTTGTTAACCTCTTAAGGTACATATGGAGAAACTAATTTAAATTTATTTCTCAAAGTACATTTAGCTTTAGCTATTAAATCAAATTATACATTTTTTTACTTTATCAATTATTTCGAGCAATCAATTGAAAGCTAATATAAATATGTGATTGGTCACCAAAATCGATTTGTGATAGTATGAGTAGGGGTGGACAAAGGAAACCAACAAATTGCATCAACCCGATAATCCGAGTCAAACCGAGTAAAAAAACCCGACTATGGTTTGGTTTGATTTGGTTTGGTGTTGAAAAAAAAATCCAACCATAATTGGTTTGGTTTGGTTTTAACTAAAGAAAGTCAGACCGAAACCAAACCAACCCGACATTACATATATAGAAATTTTAGATATATTTAATATATAAATATACTCATTGTGATGTAATATATAAATATTTCTTAAAAAATTTCATAATTTTATCTTTTAAGGTATTATTTCAAGGTTGGACTTAGAACTTTTGAATGTTCCAATAAATTTTATAGCCATTAATATTAGTAAATTAAATAATGCTAATAAAAGCCCAAACCAAAATCAAATCAATACTAATGCTAACAAAATAGATTCAATTCAATACTACGAACGGGAATATATTGAATATCTATTTTTTGTTTTGCAATAATTTAGATAAAATGCATAACCTATTTTTATTTTTTCTTTAGCGTTTAGTCATGTAATTAATACTCCCTTATTAGTCTACTTATTTTAGCATGGCTTAGTACTTTTAGATTATGTTTATTTTTATTATGACTTTTTAATTAGCAATATTATATTACATAATTTTATTATCTTTATTGTTGAATATTTTAGGATAATACCATGACACATCTCATATTTTGTATTATTTTCTTGGAAAATACTTTATATAGTTGTCTCTTATTAGGATTAAAGAAATATTTTGAGCACAATCATATGTTTTGTTCTACGAAGATTTTACCGGAGAAAAAAACCCGAATAACCCGAGAAAAACTGAGAGTGAAAAACCCGAATTTTATTGGTTTGATTTGGTCTTTAAATTTAATAACCCGACACAATTAGTTTGGTTTGGTAATTATAAAAGAAGCAAGTAGGAACTAGCAAGACATGAAATTTGAAGCCTTCCGTGTGAACATTTCACACGGCTCCTTCCTCCCATTCAAAATCTCCCTCCCAAGCTATCACCAAAATTCCCCCCCAAGTAACCTATCTGTATACATGGATGTCTCTATACATAGCCACAGAAGCCGGGAAGAAAGCACCATTTTTCTTCTCCTGCACTTTGTTTGTTGTTTCATCTCTAGTGTTTGATTTTTGGAGCTAAAGGAAAAAACATGATAATGGGCGATGAGAGGATTGAGGTAGCTTTCTTCGATGTTGAGACAACTGTACCGACCCGACCCGGACAAGGATTCGCAATCCTAGAGTTTGGGGCTATTCTTGTTTGTCCAAGGAAACTCGTCGAGCAGGAGAGTTACTCCTCCCTAGTACGGCCCACTGATCTGGCCCTCATTTCCACACTCTCTGTTCGCTGTAACGGTATTACCCCAGAAGCAGTCACAAACGCCCCCACCTTTGGTGAAATCGCTGACAAAGTCTATGACATTCTCCATGGTCAGCTCCACATCACCCAGCTCACGTGCATTTTGTAATATTCTTTATTTTCAGTGTTTTTGCGCTGTGTTTTCTATTGGCTGGCTTTTGAAATGATTATTATGTTGTTTGTGCAGGGAGAATATGGGCGGGCCACAATATAGTGAAATTTGATTGTCATCGGATTCGGGAAGCATTTGCTGGGATTGATAGGGCAGCACCAGAGCCTAAGGGAATAATTGATACATTGTCCTTATTGACTCAGAGATTTGGAAGGAGAGCTGGTGACATGAAGGTATATAAAATGTTCCAACTTTATGGAAAATATTTATGTAACTGAACTAGGATTAGTCAACTGATTAATGAATCAGTGTGGTTTAATGCGTTTTTGTGTTTAAATTACATAAAGCTTACTAGCACCTGAATTGTTCACGTTAATCATATGAATTTGGTTTTGATCTCACACTTTAGTTTAGGATGTAAACATCAGGCTTGCTAGGAGTTTGCTTCAATGGTTATTGCAACCTTTTTCTCTGTTGAAGCCACTGAATAATAAAGGAAAGAATAAAAAATTGTTTTACATATATCCAATATGAGCATATCAGCTTATATCAGCCTAGTAAATTGCACTATTCTTGTGAAGCATGTCATCTAGGAGCCTAAACATTCTCTCTTTACGGTCGGGAGTTTCTTTTCGAATTTAAATGTGATCATTTCTGTTCTCTCAAGGCTTACTTTTCTATTTGGTTAGTTAAATGGATTAATGTAATGCTGTTCTTTTTCTCTAAACTATGTTTTGCTCTTATTAGGAAGTAAAGACAAAGAGAATAATGGGAAAAATTTCCATCATTAAATACCACATATTGTTTAGAGAAGCAGGAGTATTCAGTTTCTTTCTATTTCTCTTCTTTTTGCAGTGCTTTAAAGATAAAAGTAAAAATCATTTTTTAATATTTTTTATGCAAGAATATGGAGTTTAGGCCACTTGCGCTAAATAGGAGAGATGCGGAAGTTTTGGGTACTGTAATGAACTAGAAATCTCAAGGATGCAAGCGTTCTTACTTTCAATAGTTAACTGCTGATTGGCTTCTTCTTTTTTTCTATATCATTTTCCAGATGGCCTCACTTGCTAGTTATTTTGGCCTTGGACAGCAAACACATCGGTAAAAAACTTTTTTTTTTGTGTTTTTCCGTAAGTTGAATATCAAGTTTCAGTTACCGATTATTGTAACTAAAGGTTAATGCTCTTTGGCCCTCTTGCTTACCTTTATTAACTTGCAGATTGGAAAACGTGGAATATGGTTATTTCCTTCTTTTTAACTTCCCACTATGCTTATTCTTGTTCAATATACCTCAATAAGCAACATAGAATGTGTTAATAGAGTTTGGTTCATGTCTTAATTTTCTTGTTTTCTGCAATTTGTATTCAAGTTAGGTGCTTTGTTCTTGCATCCTCTTTTTTGCCCCTGTTGAAGCAGGGGATTGGGAGGGTAACTCTTGTTACTTTTAACAGAGAAATGTACTGCTGGTGGGAAATGTAATGTGCTCTTTGTTTGATACTTTTGATGCTTCTTTTCCATGGAATTGCAAGTTCTTACTCTTTCTATTGATATTGAGAATGCAAATGTTTGCTGTGATTCTTCTCAGGAGTTTGGATGATGTCCGAATGAATCTTGAAGTGCTGAAGTATTGTGCAACTGTCTTGTTTCTGGTAAGCTAGTCATCCATCACACCTAGTAGTATTTTCTGTAATTTGTTTGGTCGTAAGACATTGTTTTGTTCATGATGCTTAAAGTTGGGAGAATGTTAGCATTACTTGTGAAGTTAACCCCATCTGACATGTTCTGATTTTTCTTCTTGTTCTTGTCGTACTATTTTCCTTTCCCCCTTTCCTGTCTTTTACCATCCATTGATATCGAGCAAAATATATCTAAACTAAATGCATTACGCTACAATATTATTCTCTGTGGTTCAATTCCAGTTTCGGCAAACATAAGAACTCCAGATGATATTGGTAATTGTTATGATCAATCAAAAGCCAAGTTGCATAGAATGGTCCTCCTTTGTTTTGGTCTGTTGCTAAACACCTGAAAGACTGCAGCGCTGAGTGTAATCCATAGGTGTAATGGATTTTGTCTTTCTAATTGCCTTAACGGAGGCGCAAATTGTCTTCTGGACCACAGCTGAGTGTCACAGGCTAGAGTTTGACAACAAAAATAACATATGATGGAGAATTTTGCTGTCTCACAATTTCTGGGCTGGTCTGATATTTTCTGTGTTGACATATAATCAGAGGAAATAGTGGCACTGCTGATCCTCAAACTTGTTCCTTAGACTGACCTTTGAAAGGCTGGCCAAAATAGACTCGCCAAAGGTTTATACTGTGGCATTGATGATATGACTCGGGATACACACAACGGAATATTAAAAACATTAATAAAAATAGAATGATAGAAATTCCAAAGGAATTGAAAAACAGAAAAAATCTTAGATTCTCACTGAACGTCCATGGTGACAATTGATATATGAAATCATGCACCCCAAAGAACAACAAGAAAGAACCAAAAATATAAAGATTAAACAAGAAAAGAATTACCCCAAAGAACTAAAGCTTGAAAATAATTCCTAAGTTCACTTCAAACAACAAAGTTTCTAACCTCACCAAGGTGTTTGTAATGACAATATGCAAATTCTCTCCTAAAGAACAAGTTTACCAAGTATTTTTTAGCTATTACATGAAGCTAAGGAAAGACAATTCCTACTCATTAATGAAAATTAAAGCTCTGACTGTATTAAAATTGAGCCAAAGATTATCTTTACTTTAATCCAGTGTCCCCGACCTGATCCTACTGTGGTTTCGTTTCTGTTGGTTTTGGGGTACTGCCATCAGCCTGCTTTTCTCACCCTTAAATGGATGCACTTATGTAGCTTTTATATTGTCATTCTATGAACTCGGGATTGATATTATTTGCTTTCTGAACTTTTGTTTTGGCTGAACAGAGTAATGAATTATGTCTATGCTGCAGGAATCCAGCCTGCCAGACATATTTACAGAGAACAGTTGGGTGTCTCCTAATGCTACTACAAGAAGCCGTGCTAATGGGAGAGCTTCTCCAGGGGAGACGGGCTTCAGTGCAGATAGACCCTCATCAAGTGTCAAGATAGAAACTTATGTGGAGAGGATGGCAGAAATCAACCCTTTTAACATGGCCAGAGTGGAAGAGTCCCTTCTATCAGATGACATGGAAGATGAATCTGGTTCATATTCTCCAGGATCTTCCACAACTGCAACTGAGAGTTTCATTGGCTGCCCTGACTTCTTAGAACCAAATGAAATCTCAATACCTTCGGTCTCTGTAAGTCTTGCCCCTTTTTGTCGTGGGTCTCAGAAGATACAGGTATTGCACGACTATGGTGAACTACAAATTTGCTGTAGACGAATGAAGGTGCGGTTTGGTGTTAGTTCAAAGTATGCTGATTATGCTGGTCGGAGACGATTGAGTTTTGTGGTTGATGCATCATCAGACCTGTGCCAAATCCTGGATGCAGTTGATAATCTTGCTCAAAAACTATCTGTCGACTCAGGTAGCAGCTCAGAGTGGAGGCCTGTGGTAACTAGAAAACCTGGCTTTATGAACTATCCTACTGTCCGATTAAAGTAAGTTCAAATCTTTCTATTTTGCACCTCTGCAAGTGAATATGCTTAGTTTTCGTGTTACTCAAAATGAGGAAAGCTTATGTCTATGCTTGCATTTTTTTTCCTGTGTAGTTACTGCTAACTTTTCTTTATCCATTCTCACCTTAAGCGTCCTAACGTTCAAGGATGGATACATGTCTTGAACAAATTATGTGCTCTTATCCCTCAGAATTTCTATCCCTAGTATTCACATGAGCTACTACTGAGTTTTTCAGTTCATGGTTAGTCCAAGTTTCTTATTAAAAGCTAGGACATAAGAGTTGTGAAATACCTCAGATAAAGTGGTGGTGTTATATTTTATGTCCTCTGTGTTAGTCCTGCTCCATTTACCGGAGCAAGCAGCTTCTTTTCACTGACATGTAATAAGCTATTCTTAACATGTGTAAACATGCAGTTTACCAACTGTTATAGATGGTAACAATTCCCGCTGGATCACAGAGATTTACCAGAAAGAATCTTCTACAACACAAAAGCTCGTCTTTAGTAAATTCGATGTGACAGAACTGGAGTCCTTGATAACACCAGGAACATTTGTGGATGCTTACTTCTCTGTGGATTCATATGACATCCAACAGAATGCTGGCATCCGTTTAGTCGCAGAAAAGTTGATCCTGCACTCCACCTAATAGTAATAGATCAGGTCCCAGATTGACTTGTATAACTTAAACTTAGGTGGCTTGGACTGTTTATGAGATTGACCATAGTTAGAATGATTCCTGTGAAATCTTTCAAGAGGGAGACTTTAATTAGCTCTGATAAATTGAAAGGTTTTATCCAACCTATCACCTGTAAGTTAAGTGAACTTTGTTCCCACGTCTTTGTGTTTAATGTGATAAAAAATTCACAGGTGACTTTACCGTGTTGTTTTTATTAGTTGGACGACCATTTATATGTTATTCCTTTTGACAGATTCAATATATATGACTGACTCAATAATCGCCCTATTTTATACGACGTTCACTACGTGCAAGAATTCAAATGCATTAGATCTTTTAATTATTAGACCTGACAAACTATGTTTTCAACTACATCAGTTTAACATCTTCTTCTACTACTATTTATATAATACGCAATTCAACATTAATATAGTATTTCATGTTAAATTAAAGGTAAAACTCTTTCTTTAATAGTTCAACTACTTAAATCTCGTTCAATCCATAAACACGTGCAATTTCATCTCTAATTGACTTATCCGCCCTCATGTTTACAATCGGCCAATAAATAAAGGAAACAATAATTTTTTTTTACTACAATTATTAGTAATTAGCCATACTTAATGTCATAGGGGTGATTTGTGCCACTCGAACTCAGCCCGAGGTTCACCTCCGTGCGGCAGTCAAGCCCAGCCTTGACTTCAGCCTTTCCAACACTTAGTTTTATTTGTAGGGACGTTTGAACTTGNCGATTTCGCCCAGCTGCTTTGTGCCAAGGCTGGCATTGCGCCCAACCTTGTCTTTGACACTGCTTCGCGCCAATGTCATTGCCACAGCTCGCCATCCACTGACTTAGCCACACACGTCCATTGTCAAAGCTGCCCGCCCATGTCAAGTCGCCCCCGACTTGATCAAATCTGTCCGTATCATTTGCCTTTGCTTGTCCCGCCTTGCCTTACCTTGCCTTGCCATGTCTTTGCCCCTGCTTGACATGGCTTTGCCTTGCCATTGTTTTGCCAAACCTCACATCTAAGAAAAATGCGCCTTGCTTCCGTTCAAGGTGCGTTTGTCGAACCCTGCATTGTCCGTCATGCCGAGCAGCCCTTCATGATGTTGCCCCATTTTTCAGGTTGTGTGCCAAGGCCATCATGAAAATCCTTGTCACACCTGCCGAGGACCTTTGTCAGGGGGTTAACACTTAACTACCATGTATTTCACACATGATCATAATTAATAATATAAATGAGTGTAACATAGATTGACGCTACTTTCTTATAGCTTCTGTGCCACAATCCACGTCCCAAAGGTCATAACTTTTTGTTTTTTCTGCTGTAACTATCACTAGCAATATGAACATGAAAAATATACATTCACTCTTAAATTAGTAATAATCATCATATTCATTTACTTATTAAACTTCTAATTCATCTCCAATATATTAACTTCAACTTAGTTAAGAATACAAGATGTGATAGATGGCCAATGCTTTACTTGAATATAATATCCAGGAATTTGCAATAATAGAGAAGATTTTGGTAGATGAGAAATAAAAAGACTGAAGGAAAAAAACACAGAGCTTTGGGATATATCAGAAAGCTAGAAAAATAATGGATTTAGTTTTGCTGTATTCTTTATTTATTGGTGTTGCGGAAGATCGTGGGTTAACTAGCACACAATTACACACAAAGCAAATAGAGAAGAAAAATTAACACAAGGATTTAACGAGGTTCGGCTAAGCCTAATCCTTAGGGCAGAAGCAGAGAGAGTTTTCCACTAGGGGTGGACATATATCGAGTAAAATCGATAACCCGGACCGTTAATTATTTATTGGGTTAACGGTTTGGTAACGGGTAAAAAAAATATTGGGTTATCGGTTCGGGCTCGGTTTGGCAATTCTATTATTGGGTAAAACCGATAACCCAATAAGGGTTAACTAATTTACTAGTTTACCCCTAAGTATATACATACTAAGGTTTCATATACATAGTTCTCACTTCTCAGTTTCTCCGCCCCTGTCGCCCTCACCAGTTCTCCGCCAGATGGATTGCCTTTGCTTGCAAATTCAACCACTGATTTTTAAATCAAAGTTTTTCTTGGAAGACTCAAGTCAAGTTGCACTAAGATGAAACTTTAACTGGTTGTCCTATTACTCAATCAGATGATGTGGGGTGCTTTTGGCAGCAAGAAAATCTTACAATTAGAAGAAACATTTTCTATCAAAAGAATATTGATCAATTGAAAAGGAGAACGAATGCCAATATATCTAAGCAACATAAAACAGAATTGTTCTCATTTGCAGAATCTGTTTTAGTTTTATTTTATCGGGTAAATCGATAACCGAACCGATAATGATCAATAACTGATTAACCGATACCGATAATCAATATCTTATCGGTTTGGTTATCGGTTTATCATATTTATAAACCGATAACCGATAGGCAAAATCGATAATATTCATAACCGAACCGAATCGACCGATGTCCGCCCCTATTTTTCACTATGAATGAGAAGAAAAACACAATACAATCTATAGAATCTCCAACTACAACCCCAAATAGGGTTGTCATGTGGGTCAGTCCGGTCCCTAAACGGGCCAAGTGGACCGGTCCAAACTGTCCCGGTCCCAAAATAAACGGTCCTAACAGTCCCGGGTTAAACGGCCTTTTTGTAGGAATCGACCCGGGACTGGGCCCACGAACTCATGGTCCTGGGCTAAACGGGCCGGGCCCGTAGGCTAGATATTTTAAAAAAAAAAAAATTAAATAGAAATTAGAGATAAAAAGATGTTAAAAATTATCTAAGGCAATGCCTTGTAAATTTTATTATAGAATTATGACCTAAATTTTTTAATTCAAATTTAAAGACAAAAATATTGTAAAGAGATATTCAAAGCAATGCCTTGTAATTTTATTATAACATTAAAAAAATATGGTAATATCTTTCTTAGTCTTCCTCCCGCATATGGAATGAGCACAACAAGGTGTTTATACTACCATTGAGAAGGAAAAAAAACTAATCAAAGATGTATCAAATATAAGTTACATAATACATACTAATTTTTGTTCATACAAGTTACATGGTATCTCTTACAAACTTCATAAATCCTTCAAGGTCCGGAGGAATTTTCGTTGGTGGTGGCAGAAAAGTAGCTTGGTCATCACCGCTTCCATTGTCGGGCGAAGCAACATCCTCCGCAAGTTTGATGTTAGGCTAAAAATTCATATTTTCGCATGTAATTTGCCTTGCATTATACCTCAATCTTGTTAACTTTGGTGTAAATATTCGTGACTCGAGCTTAATAATGGTGTTTATATGTGTAGGAGTCAATTTGAAGTGATTTGGCAAGCTTGCATGCCCAGTGAAGTAAAAACAGAAGAATTTAGAGGGAGTATGAGTTTGGTACCCAGGTTGGTGCCAGACACCAACCAAAACGCCAAAGGCAGAATAGTGGAAAGTTTCGGCGTCCTGATTGGGGCCAGGCGCCAAACGAGACGGTTAAGGGCGAATTTCGTCCTAATTTGGCTAGGACTTGGTAGTTTCAACCCTACATGTCCCCAACATGTATAAAAAGGGTTCTAAACCTATTTTTTTTAGAGGAGAGACATTATTGGAGAGGCAAGAAGGCTACGAGAACACTTGGAAGCGACGAATATCAAGAGTTTTCTCTTTCGTTCTTTCTTAATCTGTATTTTAATGCTTTCAATTACTATCATGATTGTTAGTATGGTTATGAGTAGCTAAACTTTTGTTATCTAGGGTTTTGATGGAACCTTTTATAGGATGAATTCTTATTACGTTTTTATATAATTGAGCCGTTGGATTTCTCTACTTATTCAACTATGTATTTGTTGTTGTTGATTGAATGGCCATCAAGTGACTGTGCCTATTTAGTGTGTACTGCTCGAGAGAGAGTACATATTTAGTTAGTTATTGAATAACATCACTCCTAACGTATGTGAGAGATCAATACAGAGGGTTTAAAGGCGGGATTAGAGATAAGGAAACCTTGGTGCGATCATAGTGAGCGGTGAATTAGTACTAGCCAGTGTAGTTCGAGAGAATACATCTAGTAAATTGTGGTAATTGCTCGAGAGAGAGCTACGACAAACAGAGTACTCACGATCTATAGAGAATACTTAGGCGAAATTATAGAAAATATAGCAAGGAAAATTCCAATAATTGGTGAAATCATAACTCTAGGCCTCCTTAATCTTGTCTCCAACCCGTAGTATCTTTAGTTAATAATTTTACTTTAATTAGTTAGAAATAAATTCACAATCTTTATAACTAGGAATTGTTCGAGCTTGTCTTCTTAGTGATAATAAACAGTTGTAGCTAAACCTTAGTTCTCTGTGGAATTTGACTCCGGACTTGTAAACCGGATTATATTTGCAACGACCGCTTAGTCCTTTTTATAAGGCATAGTTGGGCGTGATCAAATTTTCGCGCCGTTGCCGGGGAACTAACAGTGTAGCTGTAGCTGTACATATTGCTAGATTTCAAGTTTGAACTTTTATTTTATTTTCTTAGTATTTGATTTTTTTATTTTGGTTTTACTTGTTGATTTGGGAACATGGCATCTTGGAATTATTGGAGTTTTGATGTTGGTAATTCTATTATTGATATTCCTTGTGCTTATTGTGGAGGAAACTACCTATGGCAAAATTATCAAAATATTCCCGAAAGCGAGTTATGTGCACCATTCAATCTTATGTGTGGATTGTATGTGATGTTTGTGGTTATCAAGATGGTCACTTGTATGGTTGTGCTTATATGTCTTATCCTCCCCCAACCCCTTACTATGATGGTTCTACTTTTTTTGGTAAAGTTAATAGGAACAAAGAACCTAGGGAAGCTGACTTGAAGGAGATCAAAGATATGTTAAAGTGCCTCATGGAACGAAGTAATGAGAAATAACTGCAAATACAAAAGCTAGGGGATACTAACCAAAGACAATGTGATACTATCTAAAGGCAAGATGCAACTATTCTTAACTTGGAGGCACACATTAGGCAATTGGTTGAGGCTTTAAATGCTCAACAAGATAATATTATGAATAGTAGCCAGGAGCAGTGTGCATTAGAGACAGAAATTGAGGCTCCAATAGATAGGTTCATAGTAAAACACCAAAAATCAATCAAACTAGAATTTGAGGATGTTGATGTTGTAGAAGAGATGCTAGAGTCAACCAAGGACATTGATGATACATATTTAG